TGTGCTGCCCTCCCCTTACTGTATATTGCCTTTCCCTTCACCCAAGTTAATATGTGTCTATCCTCTAGTTAGTAACTTTTCCTCCCATCCCCCTCCCATCCTCGGCAACCTTCAAAGAATGTTTCTTTCTGTGTATAAACCTTTCTTTGACTTTTCACAGTAGTGTCTCATACAATACTTGTCCTTTGGTGATTGACTAATTTCAGGCAGCATAATGTCCTCTAGGTTCATCCATGTCATGAGGTGTTTTGCAGATCCATGATTGTTCTTTAACATTGCGGAGTATCCCATTGTGTGTATGTACCATAGTTCGTTTATCCATTCATCCCTTGACAGGCACTTAGGTTGTTTTTGTTTCTTTGCTATTGTGAATAGTCCTGCAGTGAACATGGGTGTGCATATATCTGTTCATGTTGCAGCTCTCATTTCTCTAGGATATATGCCTTGTAGTGGGATTGCTGGATCATAGGGTGTTTCTATTTCCAACTTTTTAAGGAAGCACCATGCTGTTTTCCACAGTGGTTGTACCATTTAATAGTCCCACTGGCAGTGTTTGAGGGTTCCAGTTTCTCCACACCCCTGCCAACCTTTGTTGTTTTCTATTTCTTTCAACTATGCTATTAATGCTGGGGTGAGATAATATCTCATTCTTGTTTGATTTGCATCCCTCATAGCTAATGATCACAAGCATTTTTTCATGTGTTTTTTTCGCCACATAATAGTACTTTTTTTTATATAATGATATAGTACTAATTAAATTAATTGATATACATGAAAGATTTAGAACTCTGACTGGTATAATAAGGAAGTATTTGTTATCATGATAGGAGCTCTGGTAACGTAGTGCCTAAGGCATTTGACTGTTAACCAGAAAGCTGGCGGTTCAAACCCACCAGCCATTCCTCAGAAGGAAGGTGGGGGAATCTACTTCCGTAGTGATACTGCCTCGGAAACCCAAGGAGGGGTCGCTATGAGTTGAATCCAACTCGACGGCAGTGAGTTTGGTTTGGTTTTCTGTTGGTATAGTTGAACAGCTCTTACCTTAGATTTCTTCAAGTTCTGAGAGCCCTTGGTTCTCTGTAGATAGATTCCAGGGGCTTGGTTATGGCTGTAGTTTTCAGGGTCCCTAGCTGTCCTGATGTGGTGGGGCATGGTGGGTGGAGGAAAGGCAGCAGTAGCCATGAGGGTCAGGCAGGGGCCTGGCTTCTCCCCAGGGTAAGGGAGCCCCCTCCTCTGCCCACGGCTTGTTCCTGCTGCAACCTAGCATCCTCTTTTCTGCAGGAACGGATTAATATCACCCTGGATCACCGCTGCCGAATCTTCCAGAACCTGGATGGAGCCTTGGGTGAGCAGCCCTTATGGGGAGGGGAGAGAGATGGCGAGAAGGAGGTTGGTCCTAAGAGAGTTGATAGGGAGGAGGTGAGGTTGTCAAGCAGAGCCTGAGCTCAAGGAGGAGAGCTGGGCTGGTTCCTCTAACTATTGTGCTGGGAGGTCACCTGGCCCATCCTAGATCCCCAGAGACCATCTAGAGCATGTCCTGGGGTAGAGCTGTATCTCTGTGCTGAGTGGTGGGGAATGGAGGCCCCAGAGCTCAGTTCCCAGAGACCAGGGCAGGGGAGGCAGCTGGTCAGCCTGGGAGGAGCTGGGTGGAGCACACAGTGGTACCCACCCCTGCCTGCAGAGCAGATCCTAACAGTGAGCCTGCTTCCCCTTCACCCTTTGCCCTCCCTCTTCCCAGGGAAAGGCTTACTGAGTTAGGGGCAGGGACTGAGCTAGCAGGGGGTTAGTTGATAACTGATTAGGAAGGCCACAAGCATCCTGGGGCCTGGCCCCAGTACCATAGCTGGTGATGGAGTTACTTTGCCGCTGTCTTGATGGGTGACCTCAGGCAAGGCATATCCCCTCTCTGGGCCTCGTGTTCCCATCTTCAGAAAAAGAGAGTTGGACCAGATCACTGATGGTGGGTTTCTGGAGCAAATGGACCCCTTCCAGTGTCTGCTGAAAGCTATGGCTCCTCTCCCAGGCTGATGCAGAAACAGCAGTTTGCCTGTGGTTTCTGGGGATTTGTAACCCCTGGGTTAAGAAACCAGGTCTACATCACCTCTTGGGCAGGCTAGAACCTTGTGCAGAGGGGCTCCCCTCACATGATCATCCACCCTGAAGCCTCCCTCCCCACCATCCTTAGCAAGGCCTCTGAGAAGGGAGGGCCCCTGAATTTTATAACTGACAGACCAGGCAGTTTCCTCCCTGTGTCTAAAGTGCAGATGAACAGGGTCAGAGCATGGGTGTTAGGACCCACTGGCAGTCACACTCTCCACCAGGATAGGATGTACCACCTATCACCCTGGCCTCCCAGTATGGCTGGCTTGTACTCGTGCTGTTGCACATGCCTGTCAGAGCAGGTGCATCCCACACCTCTGTCCTTGGGGCTTCTCTGCTCTGTGTCTGGAGCTGCGATGTTCCAGGTCTTTGCTCCTCTCCCATCCCTGCTTCTGGCACATTAAGTGATAGGGTCGCTGTGGATTCAGTGCTCACTACATCCTAGCCGTGGAGCAAAGTGTGTACCAGATGCTGAATCCTCCCGCTCACCCCATGACAATGGGGTTGTCCCATTTTTTAAATGATGAAACAGCCTCAGAGAACTGAAGTGACTTGCCCTAGGCCACACCCTGGTCACTGGGAAAGAGCTGGGATTCAAGCCCAGCCTATCAGCCCCGAGCTTGGCCTTTGGGCCTGATGCTAGGTGGCCTATGCTCTCTGACTCTCAGATGAGGTGGTGCTCAAGTTTGAAATGGGACACGTGAGAGCACGGAACCTGGCCTATGACACTCTCCCAGTCCTGATTCATGGAAACGGGCCTACCAAGGTAGGGAGCAACCCCTGGGGGCTTGTGAGGGGGGCCAGGGCCCTGATTCTGCTCTGTTATCCCAGCCTCTCCTTGGGCCCAGACCACCTACCTGGGCCCTGCTGTAAGCTTATTGCCTCTGATCTCTCATCTGAGTCAACATAGTACCATTTTTCTCTGCTTTGGCAGTTAGTGATGCCCTGTCCATCCCTTCTGGATGGCAGGACACACAAGAGGCCACTGTCCCCTTCCAGGCCTCTAGCCATCCCTACTTTGTCTTCCCAGGGCATACTCATTTATTCATTTAACAAACATTTATTGGATATTTGCACCAGGGAACAAGGGCTTCAGTTGAACAGACAGACTGGTCCCCACCCTTATGGAACTACAGACAGGGGCTGGGTTACAGACTATGGTTGGACACAGTGTGGACCTAACTGGACCCTGGGGAGCTGGACTCTGCTGAACTCTGACTTATAGTGTATTTCTTCTAGTGAGGGCCTTGACCACCTGCATGAGAATCACATGGTGGCTTTGGGGAGTTGAGGAGCTTGTGAAACATGCAGATTTCCTGATCTCACCCAAGAGTGGCCCAGTCAGAATCTCTGGATGGGGCCCAGGAATCTGCACTTTATCAAGTTCCTCAGGAGATCTGAAGTTGAAGAAACAGTAGAGCACCATCCTTTGCTCTCCCTCGAGCAGCTTTGGTGATCTCCAGGGGGATGGAACATTCTTACCAAGACTTACCCAAACTGGAATCCTATTACTGTCCCCTTAGGAGTGGGAGAAGTCACATTGCTGATTAGCTTGGCTGTGAATGAAAGGTTGGCAGTTCGAGTCCACCCATAAGCACCTCAGAATAAAGGCCTGGCAATCTACTTTCGAAAAATCAGCCATTGCAAACCCTGTGGAGCACAGTTCTACTCTGACACACATGGGGGTCCGTGAGTTGGAATTGAATTGATGGCAATTGGGTTTTTGCTTTTTTGGGGAGAGGACTGGGATCCACAGGGTTTTCACTGGTTGATTTTTTGGCAATTTTTAAATTGATGGCAATTGGATTTTTTGTTTTTTTGGGGAGAGGACCCCCAGTGGTCTAGGAAGACATGACTGGGTGGTCCCAACAAGCCTGTAGGTGGCTGTGGGTGGGTGGGTTGGCTGGCTCCTCTCTGACCCTCGTCTTCCCCGACAGCTGCAGCTAAACTACCTGGGCAATTACATCCCACGCTTCTGGACCTTTGAGACGGGCTGCACCGTGTGTGACGAGGGCCTGCGCCGCCTCAAGGGCATCAGGGTGAGGGCCTGAGCCCAGGGACACTGGATGGGGCAGATGGAAGATTCTGGAATAGACTCCACTGTCTTTGGTGGAAGAGAACAGGGTTGCCTCCCTGTCCAGGATCTCATCCCTATCCCTGGAGTGCCTTCACTAGAAAGCCTTCTCAGACTACTTGTGGCTCTAACTTCCCCCAGATGCCCAAGTAACAGTTTGTTCTACTTGTTCTCTCTCTTCCACCCTTCTCAGCCCCCTCTCCCTCCCACGGCCCTTACTCTTCACTTGTGGCTGCTGCCCTGGACACTGTGCCAGTCAGTCTCCTGACAACTCACCTGGTCCTTGCTCATAGCCTGGGCTCACCCCTCTCCCCCCCCTGGAGCCTCTGGCTGTTTCCCTGCTAGGCCTTGCCTCTGCCTACTGCACACCCTACTGAGAATTCACTGCCTAAGTACCGTCCCTGGCTAAGTCTATATGCTTCTGTCCCTGGCTCTTGATCCCTCCAGCGCCCCAGGGGCTCGGCCCCATTGCCGTGCTTAGACACTGCTGGACTCTTGTGCCGCCCCCTCCCCATGCAGGATGAAGCTCTGCCCGTAGTCCTGGTCGGTGTTTTCATTGAGCAGCCCACGCCGTTCCTATCACTCTTCTTCCAGCGGCTCCTCCGCCTCCACTACCCCCAGAAACAGATGCTGCTTTTTATCCACAACCACGTGAGTAGCAGGCCTTCAGAGGGGTCACCGTGTGGGCTGAGCCTTCTGAAGATCTGAGCAAGCCATGATTATCCAGGCCAAATGAGAGGGGGTGGTAGGCTGTATCCCAAATCACTGGGGGAACTCCAGATCAGACTGGCTGGGTTTGAATCCCAACTGCTTTTATTAGCTCTGTGACCTTAGGCACATTACTGAACCTCTCTGTGCTTCTGTTTTCCCATCTGGAAAGTGGTGATCATAATAGTGCCAACCACGTAGACTTCTTATGATTGACAAGTTGATATATGAAGCACTTAGAAGAGTTCCTGATACCTAGGAAGCACATAGTAGTTGCTCTTAGTTGCTGTTATTATCCTTGTTTCCCTCATTGCCCAATTAGTCCTTCCTAATTAGGGGTAGTGGTAGTTTAGTGGTAGAATTCTCACGTTCTTGCTTTTCATGTGGGAGACCTGGGTTTGATTTTAATAGCCAATACACCTCATGTACAATCACCACCTGTCTGTCATTGAAGGCTAGTGTATTGCTCTGGTGCTGAACAGGTTTCAGCAGAGCTTCTAGACTAGTAGAGAGTAGGAAGAAAGGCCTGGTAATCTACTTCTGAAAATCAACCAGTGAAAACCCTGTGGATCACAGTGGTCTCATCTGGAATCAATCATAGGGCTGATTGGAAGACAACTAACAACAACAACAACACTTTGCTCTCAAACCAAACTCACTGTTATCAAGTCAATTCCAACTCATAGTCGACCCCCATTGGATTTCCGAGATGGTAAATCTTTATGGAAGTAGATTGCCCCATCTTACTTTTGTGGACTGGCTCGTGGGCTTGGACCACCCACCTTCTGGTTCTTGTGCTGCAGTCAAATGCCTTAGGCACTGTGCTACCACAGCTCCTTTGCTCTAAAAAAGAAAAAAAAAAAAAAAAACCAAACTCACTGCCGTCAAGTCAGATCCGACTCATAGCGACCCCTCCTTGGGTTTCCGAGGTTGTATCACTAAGGAAGTAGATTGCCCAACCTTCCTTCCAAGGAGTGGCTGGTAGATTTGAACCACCAGCCTTCTGGTTAGCAGTCAAATGCCTTAAGGACTATGCCACCAGAGTTCCCTTGCTCTAGTGATAGCCAAATTGATTTTCATTCCTCCAGTGCTTTGTAGGGAGTGGGCTTGGCTTTTGCTAATGTCAGTCTCCCTACTTGGGATGCAGAGGCACTTGCCAAGTCCTATCTGTTCTTCAAGGCTCCTTGTTGCCCTTGAGGTCTTCACTTCTGCCTCACCTGGGATGATAGCCCCCCTTTCTGAGACCTTTCGGCCCTGACAGTCCATACCCTACATCCCTGGGACCCAGGGACCCAGCCTCGGCCCGTAGTTTACCCTCTCTGCCTGCTTCCCAGATATTCATTTACCTGTGCAGAATGCCACATGGTGACAGAGAGGGGTTTAGGCCCTGCCCTTGAGAGACTTGCAGCAGCCCTGGAGACCTCAAGCAGGGCACCCATGACTGTGACTTTATATAGAAAATAACTGTCACAAGGCAGTCCATGAGGACCTGCTGTGTGCTATGTCTGACTCAGTAAGCCCTACAGTGACCTGTCAGGGAGGCGTGGTTGTCGTTCTGTTTTACAAGTGAGGAAGCAGAAGCTGGAACAAGGGAAGTGACTTGTCCAAGGTCACGTGGTGAGTCATAGCCAGGGTTTGCCCTGAACCCTGCATTGGTCCTAGATCCTGCTCTGACCAGTTCCACACTCAGGTCCCAGATATGGACCATTGTTATTAAAGTTTGGTCCCAGGATTTCCTGGAGTGTATGTTTATTTGTTTTACTTTTTTTGAATTTCTCTTTTTTTTTAAGTGTGGTGAAAATACATATAACAAAGTACATGCCACCTCAATAATTTCTACATGTACGATTCAGTGACACTGACTACATTCTTTAAGTTGTGCAACCATCCTCACTGTCCTTTTCCAATCATTCCACCACCACTAACATAAACTCACTGCCCTATAAGCAAAATCTGCCTTTTCCCTTTCTTCCATCCCTGGTGACCACTAATAGTCTTTGGTTTCTGTATATTTGCTTATTTCATGTAAGTGAGGTCATACAGCATTTGTCCTTTTGCAACTGACTTACCTCATGCAGCGTGATGTTTTCAAGATTCTTCCATGTCTTGGCATGCAGCGGGACCTCATTTCTCTTGATGGCTGAGTAGTATCCCATTATGGGTATATACTATATTTTGTTTACCCATTCATCTATTGTTGTGTGCTGTCAAATCAATTCTGACTCATAGTGGCCCTATAGTATAGAGAAGAACTGCCTCAGAGGGTTTTTAAGGCTGTAAATCTTTACAGAAGCAGACTGCCACCTCTTTCTCCCACGGAACGGCTGGTGGGTTCACGCTACCAACTTCAGTTAGCAGCTGAGCACTTTAACCACTATACCATCCAAGCTCCTTTCATCCATTCATCTAATAATGGACATTTCATTTGTTTCTACCTTTTGGCTGTTGTGACAAGAGTTGTGATGAACACTGGTATATGGGTTTCTATGTGCTTACACTCCTGGAATGGGGTTTGCTGGGTAATATGTAGTTTTGTGTACAATTTTTTGATCTTGGAGGGTTTTGTAGCAAAGCAGAACCCTGGCCCATACCCCAGACCCACAGACTCCACATCAGTAGATGGAGCCTGGGTAGTAGTGGGTGCTGTCGTGGTGACAAAGGCTCTTAGGAGGCCGGTGGGGCTGGCCTTTGTCAGGGGAGCGTGGTTAAAGGACAGCCAGGATTTGGTATCTGGGAAGGCAGAGGTTCGGGCATGGGGAAGAGCCTCAAGACAGGAAAGCAGATGGCTAGGGATGACTGGGGTGGAAAGGCATGGCCTGGCAGTTACAAAAGGTTGTGTGGTCCCTGGGGTGGAGCCTGTACCTCCATCCTCATCACCCTCGGCCCCCTCCTCCCAGGAGCAACACCACAAGGCCCAGGTGGAGCAGTTCCTGGAAGAGCATGGCAGCAAGTACCAGTCCATGAAGCTGGTGGGCCCTGAGATCCGGATGGCCAATGCTGACGCCAGGAACATGGGCGCGTGAGTCAGGGCCCAGGGGCGGATGAGGTGGGCATGGTAGGTAGAGAGGCCACCAGATCAGGACCACCAGACTGGGAGACCAAAACCAGGCGTTCAGAAGGCTTCATGGTCTCCAGCAAGTTCCTGCCCTTCTCTGGGCCTCAGAGTTCCCATCTGTCAAATGAGGCAGTCGTCTCCATCCTGCTAGCCTGGGGGTTCCTAGGCAGGGCTGAGCACAATCAGTTGGGTTCAGAAGGCAAATCGGGGGCGGAGAAGGACTGGAGAAATTGAAGTAGACAGACGCTGACCATTAGAGAAGTGATCTCTCTTAGTTTCTCAATGCTACTGTAACAGATACCATAAGTGGGTGGCTTTAACAAACTAATTATTTTCTCACAGTTGAGGAGGCTCCAAAAAAAAAAAACAAAACTCACTGCCAGCAAGTTAATTGTGACTCATAGCGACCCCCATTGGGTTTTCAAGGGTGTAAATCTTTACAGAAGTAGATTGCCCCAGCTTCCTTCTACAGAGCAGCTGGTGGGTTTGAACTGCCGACCTTCTGGTTAGTAGCCAAATGCCTTATCTACTACAACACCAGAGCTCCTTTGTTGAGGAAGCTAGAAGTCCAAATTCAGAGTGTGGGCTCTAGGGGAAGGCTTCCTCTCTCTGTTGGTTCTCGGGGAAGGTCCTTATCTCTTCAGCTTCTGTTCCTTAGTTCCTTGGATATGGTTTCCCTTCCACTTGTGCTGTGCTTGCTTCTCTGTGCTTATCTGCTCCTTCTGTGTGTCAAAGGGGATTGACACTAGACACACCCTACACTGGTACGGTCTCTGACGTAAAAAGAAACCCCCTTCCCAGATGAGATTACCTCTATAGGCCTAGGGGTTTAGGATTTACAACATATTTTTAGGGGGCACATTTCAATCTGTAACAATCTTTTACTTCTTTTTTCCTTTATTAAAAAGAACAAACCTAAGTAATGTGTATTGACTGTCAAAGACTTAGACAGTCCAGACCAGAAGTTGGCAAACTTCCTGCCAATGACCAAGTTGTAAATATTTTTCACTCTGTGGTCTGTCGCTACCATTCGTTCTACTGCTGTAGTACAAAAGCAGCTTTATTTATGATGGCTCTCTAAGATGATGTGAACAAATGAGCCTTGGGGGGGTTCCAGTCACATTTTATTTATGGATACTGAAATTTGAGTTTCATATCATTTTTATGAATTTATCCCTTTTATTATTTTTTTTTTTCCAACCATTTGAAAATATAAAACCCATTCCTAACTCGTGAGGTATACAAAAGCAGGGAGTATTTGAGCCATCGACCATAGTATGCTGTGCTCTGGATAAACAAAAAGAACGTAATTTTGGTTTTTTTGGATGCATCAACCTGGGGTAGGTGTTCTGTATGTAGGTCTTTCTACTGTTGTGTTGAGAGCCAATCCATGTAAGTGAGTCCATTTCTAGGCCTGAAGGGTAACCCAGGGCCATACTCTCAGGGCTTCTACCGGTCTCTCTCCAACCAGCAATTCTGGTCATTTTTGTGTTTTTGAATTTTGTTCCACTCTGTTTTCCTCCCACTCTATCCAAGATCTCCAGGTTTGATCCCTTCCCAAGTGGTTGACATTGGTAGCTGGGCACCATCTAGTTCTTCTGGGCTTAGGTCGTGGAGGCTGAGATCCTTATGGTCCTTCTTATCTTTGGACTAATTGTTTCCAGATGACTTTGATCTTCTTCACTTTTCTTTGCTCCAGAGGAGAGGAGACCAATACTTGCATCTTAGATGGCTGCTCCAAAGCTTTTAAGACCCCAGTTGCTACTCAACAAATTAGGTTGTAGAACAAAATTTTTATGTACTGTGTGCCAATTGATCATGATGTACCCCAAGACCATGGTTCTGAGCCCCCAGAAAAGAACATAATTTTTTAAGGGTTTTGGTACAAGTTGCCCAGTTGCCTTCTAGAAAGACAATACCGTTCTTCCTGCCCTCCTCCAGCCCTAGCAAGGTAGGAACCTGCCTGGTAGGCCAGGTCTTCTAGGGCTCTTGATGCCAGCTGCCAAGCTCTGGGTCTTCGTCTGGAGAGCACAGTAACCCAGGGCCTGAATATCAGTGGGACCTTGGAGGCTGCTGGTGCTGACCCTGTCCTGTGCTGGCTGTCTCACTGGTACCTGGCAAAGCCAGAGCATGCTCGTGCTGGGGCAGGGGTAGAGACACAGCCGCAGGGTCACTCTGGGATCCTGGGTGGGGAGATGCCGGAGCCCCAGCCTGCTGACTCCATGCCGTCGGCCTTGCAGAGACCTGTGCCGGCAGGACCGGAGCTGCACCTACTACTTCAGCGTGGATGCCAACGTGGCCCTGACCGAGCCTGACACCCTGAGGCTGCTGATTGAGCAGAACAAGTGAGGCTGTGGGCAGCAGGCCCTCAGAGCCCAGTGCTCTGTGATGGGTCTGGGCTTGGGTGGGAGTCCCTTCCCCATCAGCTTCACCTGTGGAATCCTGAGTCCCTGCCTGAAGTATGGCAACTCCAGGTTCTGACGGACAGTGGTGCCCACTCTTGTCTTAGTCTAAGATGTTCCCATCCCCACCCTATCCTACCTCCATGTCACAGCCCTCCCTCCAGTCTGTCCCTGGCCACAGCATGGGTGGGAATAGGTACCAGGTGAGCCAAATCCACCTCCAGTCCTAGGCCCTGCTCTGCTCCAGTGAGGTACTTGGAACGCACACTGCTCCCTCCCCCCTGCAGTGGGCAGGGGAATTCCCACTGAGGTGCTCCTTCCTCAGGAACGTCATTGCCCCCTTGGTGACCCGCCAGGGGAGGTTGTGGTCGAACTTCTGGGGGGCGCTAAGTGCAGATGGCTACTACGCCCGCTCTGAGGACTACGTGGACATTGTGCAGGGTCGGCGTGTGTGAGTATACAGGGAGGACACCCTCATCTGTCTTCCTCAGGGCCTTGTGGCACCTCCTTCCCCAATATGCCTGTCCCCACAAAAAAAAAAAAACCAAACTCATTGCCGTTGAGTCAGATCCAACTTATACCGACCCCTCCTTGGGTTTCCAAGGCGGTATCGCTACAGAGGTAGATTGCCCCATCTTTCTAACAAGGAGTAGCTGATGGGTTTGAACCACCAGCCTTTGAGTTAGCAGTCAAAAATTCCTACTGACCATGAAGCAAGGAAGATTGCAGTCAGACACTCAGAAGGACTCCTGACAGTTAATTCCAGACTCATGTGCCCAGGGTGGGGAGATCAAGTCAGCACTATTATATTCTTCCTGCTCCAATCCCCCTTGTTCCTGACATTGTCTGTGACCCCTTCACCATCAGCCTGTGACCTCCTCCCTCTCTTTCTCTCAGTGGTGTCTGGAATGTGCCCTACATATCAAACATCTACTTGATCAAAGGCAGTGCACTGAGGGCTGAACTGCAGCAGAAAGACCTGTTCCACCACAGGAAGCTGGACTCTGACATGTCCTTTTGTGCTAACATTCGACAGCAGGTCAGCCCTGGGGCTGAGTTTCATGGGAGGCCCTATTGTTGACAGAGAAAGTAGGCCCCCAGCTGTGTCCCTCATGGTGGGCAGCCTTGTCACCATAGGCCTGGGAAGCTGCTGAGGTCCCTGCGGGACTTCTCAGAGACCCCCAAGGCCTGGTGGAGGCACATTAGAGTCCCGGGCGTGTTGGCAGACCCCCAGCAATCAGCAAGGACCATTTTAGCAGACACAGTTATCAACATCATCTATTTTACTTACATCTTTGACAGAGCCTAAAGATGACTGAGAGGGCAGTAGCAGCTCAGTGTAGAATTCTCACCTTCCATGCAGGAGACCCGGGTTCGATTCCTGGCCAAAGTCCTTCATGCACAGCCACCACTTGTCTCAGTGGAGGCGTGCGTGTTGCTGTGATGCACAGTAGGTTTCAGCAGAGCTTCCAGACTGAGATGAACTAGGAAGAAAGGCCTGGAGATCTGCTTCTGAAAATGAGCCAGTGAAAACTGTACTGACCGACCACAGTGCTTTGATTCCACTGTTCATGGTGTCGCCATGAGCCGGGAGCCAACTAAATGGCATGTTGTTGTTGTTGTTATTTGCCGTCGAGTCGGTCCCGACTCATAGCGACCAACTAAATGGCATAACAACAATAAAAAGATTATAGTACTTACCGCTAAATATAATCCAAGTAATGTGCCCAAGAAACACCCTCACCTTGTCCCTGAGCCCCATCCCATATGTTTTGGTGATTTATATTTTTAAGTAAGTGACAGTATAACAGTGCATTTCCCCTGTGGCCAAAACATCAATATCAAAGAGCTATCCTTTTCTTACATGCATTCATTTGTTCTTTCATAAGTTTATTTGTTCCTTTTGGATTCACCCCTCCAGGAAGCCTTTGCTGATTGTATTCCCAGTGTCAGACCTGGGCTGGGTGTTGCAGACATGGGGGTGGTGCACTCAGTCCCTGCCCTTGTGACCTGAGTCTGGTGGGCAGAGAAGGCTGTACTGATGACCCTTTCAGGGGCCTGCAGGGGACAGGGAGGAAGGGGGGCCTCTCCCATCGGTCTGCTCTCCGCAGGACGTGTTCATGTTCCTGACCAACCGGCATACCTTTGGCCACCTGCTCTCCCTGGACAGCTACCAGACCACCCACCTCCATAACGACCTCTGGGAGGTGTTCAGCAACCCCGAGGTGAGGACCTGGGTGCGGCTGGGAGGAGAGGAGCACAGAGGCCTCCTAGATCCTGAGGCTCCTCCCTCTCTGATCCTAAGGTGAATTAGGACCCTGTGGGCCCCTTCTCTTCCCTCTGCCCCAGGGGGCCTATAGGTCCCCTTAATTGGGTAGGAAAGGAGGATACCTTGAGAGATGGCGCCATCTAGTGGAGAAGGGACCAGGAACCCCAGGCCTGGATTTAAAGCCAAGCTCTGCAGTCAGCTGTGACTTAGTTGAGCCTCTCAACTTACAGGGCCTCAGTTATTTTAGCTCTAAAATGGGTATACTATCCCAGCCTCACTCATGCGAGAGAGTATAGTGATGATCAGAGGAAGTGACAGTTGTGACTGTGCACCTAGATGTTGGGAGCTTGTGATTGATGTTGGTACATACACATACCTCTATACACATGTACACCTACACATATGTACATACACAGACACATGCGTGCAAACACTAGCTCCTGTAAGCATGCTTCTGCACCCAAATCGTGCACTTGAACCCAGTGGGCAGAGGTGCATAGCCCTGGTGCACCCCCCCACCGCCCCAGTGTGTACAATCCATCACATGGCATGGGGTTTCTGGGGAGGAGCCCTTTCTGGGAGCATCTGTTGCACTCAGCTTCCCCCTCCCCATAGGACTGGAAGGAGAAGTATATCCACGAGAACTACACCAAGGCCCTGGAGGGGAAACTGGTAGAGACGGTAAGGGCCTGTGGTACCTCTGGGAACAAAGCCCCTGGATCCGTACCCCTTCCTGCTGCAGAGCTGGGGAGGGGAAGGGAGTGGGAGAAGAAAAGAGCTAGCTGACCTGGGGAGCAGGGGCATCTTTCTTTCTGTGCTGCAGTGCTGGGGTGAAAGGCCAGCTGGTGGCCCCCTTCCGCCTGCTGGCACTTTTGGGCTAGAGCCTATGGGGGCCTTGGGGACCTCCGGCCTCTCCTCTGGCTGAGTCAGGAAAGAAAAAAAAGGTCCCCACATGTGGTCTCAACTGTAGGCCGTGCCCCCTGGGCCAGCACCTGGGAGTGGGTAGGTCCTCTGGACTCCCTACTGCTGGTGTTCCAGGGAGCCTGAGGCTGCTGCTCCCTGGATACACACCCTCCTTATTCCGTGACCTCGCTGACACGGGCCATCACTGAGCTTCTGCCTCGTCTCAGCAGCGGTTCACTCAGTCCATCCAGAATCGACAGAGCCCTGCTCTGTGGAGATACTTGGAGCTTCCTGACTGGGCTGGGGGCAACCTGGGGCCATAGACTACCTGTGGGAGCTTCCTTTGCCTCAGGGCCTGAAGAGGGCTGTGGGAGCAGGAGGAGCATGTGGTAGAGACCCTCTGGACCCTTCTGATTGAGGATCCCCTCCCAGCCTTGCCCAGATGTCTACTGGTTCCCCATCTTCACGGAGGCGGCCTGCGACGAGCTGGTGGAGGAGATGGAACACTATGGCCAGTGGTCTCTGGGTGATAACAAGGTGGGGCCTCTAGTCAATTCCAACTCATAGTGACCCCTACAGGATAGAGTAGACCTGCCTCATCGAGTTTCCAAGGCTATAAATCTTAATGGAAGCAGACTTGCCTCATCTTTCTCCCACAGAGTGGCTGATGGGTTTGAACCACCAACCTTTAGGTCAGCAGCCAAGCGCTTAACTGCACCACCAGGGTTCCTTACCACAAGCTTAAGTGGCTTAAAACAAATTCATTCATTGCACAATTTCTCTGGGTCAGGAGTCTGGACCCACTTAACTGGGTTCTCTGCTCAGGGCCTGACCAGGCTGCAAGTGAGGTGTCATCTGGGGCTAGGATCTCTTCTGACTGAGGCTCAGGGTCCTAGTCCAAGCTCATGTGATTGTTGGCAGAATTCATTTCCTTGTAGTTGCAAAACTCATAGTGGCTTGCTTCTTCAAGGCCAGCAGGAAAGAGTTTCCTTCTTAGATCCTCTTCTAAAGGACACATCTGCATGGGTCAGGCCCATCCAGCATAACCTCCCTTTGATCAACCCAAAGTCAACTAACTGATCAGGGACCTTAATAACATCTGCAGAATTCCTTCACTTTTGCCCTAAAACATAACATAGCCCCAGGTCCCACCCATACTCAAGGCGGTTTGGGAGGGATTGTACAGGGTCAGTCCACTAGGGGGCGGGAATCTTGAGGGGGAGGTCACCTTCGAATTCTGCCTTCTTGGAATTCACACCCTCCTTGGTCACCTTCAGGACAACCGCATCCAGGGTGGCTATGAAAATGTGCCGACCATTGACATCCACATGAACCAGATCAGCTTTGAGCGGGAGTGGCACAAGTTCCTGGTGGAGTACATCGCCCCCATGACAGAGAAGCTCTACCCCGGCTACTACACCAGGGTGGGCTCAGGGCACAGCCAGGATGAGGCAGGGGGTGGGAGTGGCTGAGGGACAGTGGTAGTAAAGCAGTCTTGGCCTGGGGGGAGAGGCCCGGGTAGTGGATCCCCAGGCAGGAATGAGGTCTCGCCAACCAGGCTGGGCATCATGAGGTGCAGGCCTCAGGAAGAGCCTGGGGTTGGGGGAGGCCCCTCTGACCTCACCCCATCTTCCTAATCCTTTCTCCTTACCCCTCCTCTCCTTAAAACTCACCTCAGTAGCTCGTAGCAAACAAGCTCCCAGATAGCTGGCCAGTGTATCCCCGTTTTTTCCTTCACCTAGCTCTGTCCCTCACAAATCTGTCAGTAGCCCCTTTGGCTTCCCCTCTTGCTCCCTCCCTCCCTCAGTGACTTTGTCATTCCCTTGGTTTTCTCTGAGCAACTGCTCTGGGTATGTCTGGGCCCTGCCCTCAAGGACTCACCAGTCTAGATAGTTGCCAGAACTGGTCGTAAGGCTTAATTCCTCCCTTCTTCCTTCCTCTCCCTCATTCCTTCTCTCCTCCACTGAGCTCTCTTTCTTTCCTCCTTTCCTTTCTCTATTTTTCTCCCTCCTTCTCTCCCCATATTGTTGTTACCCAGAACCTTCTCTGAGCCAGGCACCATTCCAGGCACTGCAGGACACAGCCTTGGGCTAATCTGCCCTCAGGGAGCTGGCATTCCAGCAGATTAGATGAGGGTCTCTGTGTATTCCTCAAGGTCTTGGCCTCTCCCTATTAACTTTGCTTCTTGCCTCACTGCTGTGGTGCAGGCCCAATTTGACCTGGCCTTCGTAGTCCGCTACAAGCCTGACGAGCAGCCCTCGCTGATGCCACACCATGATGCTTCCACCTTCACCATCAACATTGCCCTAAACCGGGTGGGAGTGGATTACGAAGTAAGCATGGCTGAGGACAGGTGGAGGGGATGCCAGGTGGCAAGCCATTTACAGGGTGATAGAGGCAGAGGGGCCCTAGGTTCACCAGCATCAGAGAACCAGGGAGAAAGCGAGCTGGGCCCCTGGGGAGGCCCTTCTGGAGCTACTATTTTTAAGGAATTTCTTTGGCCTTAGCCCTGAGCTAGGCACTGTGAAGAGTACCCAAAAAGCAGCTATACGTATCTGAAGAAGAACCCAGGCATTGGGGTTCTCGACGGGATAATTTTACATCTCCTCCCTCCAGATGACATTTGGAAATGTCTGGAGACATTTTTGGTTTACAACTATGGAGGTACTATCTTGTAGGTAGAGGCTAGGGATGGCCAGGACAGCCCCCCACAACAAAGAATTATCTGGCCCAAAATGTCAGTGGTGCTGAGGTTGAAATACCCAGACCTAAGCTCTTACATCATCTCATTTAATTATCACAATCCTTTGCTTTATTGAGTAATTATTATTACTTACTGAGTAAGTAATAGAACCTGGACTTGCCCAGGGCTGCCTGACCCCAAGACCAGTGCTCCTATCAGTCTTTGCTGAGTCTCTACCTTAGGCAGCTATGGCTGTTGCTTCTCAAGGTACCCCAGGGAGGCTATAGGAAGAGCCACTTGATGGAGACTAGAAGGACAATGAGGGAAGGGCCCAGCTTCCTGTTGGGGAACTGACACTTCCTGTTGGGGCACTGATGCTTCCTGTTTGACAACTGACCCTTCCTGTCTCTCAGGGCGGGGGCTGTCGGTTCCTGCGCTACAACTGCTCCATCCGTGCCCCGCGGAAGGGCTGGACCCTCTTGCATCCTGGGAGGCTCACGCACTACCACGAAGGGCTCCCCACCACCAAGGGCACCCGTTATATTGCAGTCTCCTTCGTCGACCCCTAACTGCCAGCATCATCTGGAGCCTCAGGGTCCCAGGAAGCTGGTCCAGCCTCCAAGTCTTCACTCCCCATTGCTCGTGGAGCCATCAGTCCAGTCCAGTCAGAGGACCAGGCACACAGAGAGGCGGAGCAGGTCTCCTGGCCTAGGGCTTTCTGGGTGCTCTGGCCAAGCCCAGGAGAGGCTGTTCACTGTCACGGCTTTGTAGAGATTCATCCTCCCCAACCCTTCTTCTTGAAAAACTGACTTCCTCTTCCTCTGCTTCTACCCGGGGAGACCTGAGCAGAGCCAGGCTTAGCCAAGCTGCCCAGAGAGCCTCTAGGGACAACGAGCCATACCCCAGAGCTTCTCCCAGGTGGAGCTGCAGCCCCAGGGACTTCCTGTTTCAAGTTTGGGGTAGACACAGAGGCCTGAATCAGACTATGCTCCTGCCCAACCCTGGGACCACCGAAACCTGCTTCCTCCATGGCTTCTGTCGTGACAGCAAAAACTTGTCCCCTGGAGACAGCGACTCAGAATACCTACTGAGAGGAGAAGAGACCACAGCTGGCTCGTCTACTTGACCCTTACTGGGGGTGGGAGGGTGATATGTCCACACACTGTACTGGGTCACCCTGTCCCTATGCCTCTGCAGAGAGAGACTGACAGAAATCAGAGTTTCTATTAAATGTCATTACAGCCATGGAGTAGGAGCTGCTGGTTGGGCGGGGTGTGGTGAGTGGTACAGAGGATTGCTGTAAGACCCCATGATTGGGATGTTCAGTAGGCAAAAAGACTGTCAGGAAACTGGATGACTTCTTTGTGTCCCAGACCCAGTCACATGTGATCTCCTTGTCATTTGTATATCCTGTAAGCCATGCTGTGTGCCCAGCACTGGCATACTGGGGTACACTTCTTAATCCTGCAAGGCTTGTGTCAGGTGCCACCTCCTCTCTGAAGCCTTGCTGACCACCCTTCCTACAAACATGAGCAGACCTGTTGCTGCTTCTGGTGGCCCCCACCATACCCTGGACAAATTCATCATGTAGTGCCAATAACACTTCAAGGCATTTATTAATAAGAG